AGATGTGCAGGTGAACATCTGCTTGATGTGGAAAGTCTTCTTGGGGCCTGGGATGGGGGTGAGGGAGGAGGTATGGGGGCAGGTGTCGCACTTCCTGCGGTTGCAGGGAAAAGTGCCGGGTGTGGTGGAGCTGGAGGGGAGTGTGGAGCGGACGAGGGAGTCACGGAGAGAGTTGTCCCTCCGGAAAGCAGATAAAGGTGGGGAGGGAAAGATGTCTTTGGTGGTGGGGTCGGATTGCAGATGGCGGAAGTGTCAGAGGATGATGCGTTGGATCCGGAGGTTGGTGGGGTGGTACGTGAGGACGAGGGGGATTCTTTTTTGGTTTTTATTGCGTGGACGGGGTGTGAGGGATGAGTTGCCACCCGAAGGTTGCAGGAACAGCAACTCATATTCCGCTTGGGAACCCTGCAGCCGAATGGTATCAATGTGGATTTCACAAGTTTTAAAATCTCCCCTCCCCCCACCGCATCCCAAAACCAGTCCAGCTCGTCCCTGCCTCCCTAACCTGTTCTTCCTCCCACCTATCCCCTCCTCCCACCTCAAGCCGCACCTCCATCTCCTACCGACCAACCTCATCCCGCCCCCTTGACCTGTCCGTCCTCCCTGGACTGACCTATCCCCTTCCTAACTCTTAGTGTTGTTGGAAATGTGCCAAAAGGTCACGAAGAGGTGAAGGCTGCAGGCGGTTGTGGTCACGTGGTGAGGTGCATGGCTGGGCGGACGGGTGGGTGGGTGGGTGGTTGGGTGGTTGTGAGGGTAGTGCGCATCGTATTTGCGCGTGGGGACCGCGAGCCGCCGCCGTTAGCTCGGACAATCCCACTGTGTGCAAGAGGGGGAGCTGCCACTCCAGGTCCACCCGAGGATGTGGACGTAATGTGACAGTAGGGTAAGAACGTCGCCGAGCCGATTGTTCCCCCGCCTCGTGTCACCGATGGACTCCCCAAACTGTCAATGATGGGCTCCCGCCTCGTGACGGTGATGAGACCGCGAGTGTCGACAAATAACAAACCCTGCCTTCTCTCAGTGGTGGTGACTTGTTGGGAGCAGAGTATACAGCTCTGCCTTTGGGTAAGTAACTACATAGTCCATCCAGCCACAGGGAAATTGGCAAGGTTTAAAGTGCAGCTGAAGACCCCTCCTTCCACTATTTCCTTTGTATCCAATGACAGAGTTTCCCATCTTCTTATCTCTGGGTGCTGAGCCTAGTGGATTACATCACATCCCCTCTGTTTTCTGACTGCACTGAGGGTTGTTGTTATGTCTGCCACCAGGTTGTGAGCCGATACCTACCGCTTGCCTTGGGCTCCAGGTTTGTGGCTTGAGGCTTTCTTTTTGATCAGTTTCTCGACAGCGTTGGTGCGAATGATCGGCCTGACCAGGTGTCGCTTGTATGACCCAGGGTATTTCTTCTCCACGGCTTGTTCACGCCTGTAACACAACAAAAACTGCTTAGGCCTCCGGGAAGGGGAGAGGAGGTAGATCTTTACAAGGCCGTGCTCAGTGTTGTTGGGTAAAGGCCCGTGCTCTGCTCTGTAGGTGAGGGAGTTCACTGCTGGGTTCACAGGATGGGGAAGGGAAGTAGCTCCAGCAGCAGTGGGGACTCTTCAATTAACAATAGCATGCCCCCTGGGCCTGGCCTGGCCATAAAACGTAGGAACAAAAGTAGGCTGTTCAGCCCATCCGCAAACCTGCCATACAATGAGATGAATGGTTGATGTGATAATCCTCAACTCCCCATAACCCTCGATTCCCTTACTGATTAAAAATCTGTCCATTTCAGCTTTGAATATACTTAATGACCCAGCCTCAACAGCCCTCTGTGGTACAGAACGCCATAGATTTATTATCCTCCAAAAGAGGGGAAAAAAAAATTGTCCTCTTCTGTTTCTTAAATGTGTGATCCTTTATTCTAAGATGATGCCCTCTGGTCCTAGACTCTCCCACAAGAGGAAGCAACCTCTCTGCATCTACCCTGTCAAATCCTCTTAAGAATCTTGTATTTTTCAATAAGGACATCTTTCATTCATCTATATTCCAATGAATACAGGCCCAATCTACGGAACCTGTCACGATAAGAGAACCACTTCCCGGACTGCTCCAATGCCAGTATATCTTTCCTTAGATAAGGCAGCTATGGTCTGACTAGTACTTTGTATAGTTTTAGCAAAACCTCCCTGCTTTTATAATTCATTCCCTTTGAAATAAAGGCCAACATTCCAATTGCCTTCCCTATTAGCCACTGAACCTGGATGCTAGCTTTGTGTGACTCGTGCACAAGGACTCCCAAGTCTGTCTGGTCCATAGCTTTTGGCAGTCTTTTTCCATTTAAATAATATTCAGCTCTTCTATTCTTGCCAAAGTGCATAACCCCGACTGAGGTTTTCGTGACTCTTGATGAAACGATCGTGAAAGTGAGGACTAGTCCAGAGTCAGAAGTGACACAGTGGTCTGGACCTTGCAGCCTGGGTCACTTGGACATCAAGAGATGGGTGATACACCATGTTCACTGTCTGCACAGGGAGAGAAAATTGGAGCAGGTTCTGGTCATGAAGGAAAGTTTTGCTATACGCTATGTAATTCTGCATGGTAGAGACCACTGGAGACCATCTAGAACAGGTTTCTACAGAAACAGATAAACCCACACTACCTCCCGTCTCACAGGTAGACAGGGGTTTACAATAAATTCTGGCCTTGCTGATGATACCCCTGTTTCAAGGAGGAAGAAAATGTATTGAGTATTGCTGGAAAAAAGGTACATTTAGTCAAAGTTTTTCATCTTGCACAGATCAGGATTTGGGTCAGAAATTGAAGGAGGGTAAGATGCATGGACATTCAATCAGACAAGTAAAATAAAAATCTCAGGATGAAGGAAATGCTGAAGTCAAACTAAAACATCTGCACAAACAGAAGACAGACATTGGGTCAGCTCGGATAATTGATTTACACAGAAAAATCAGAAAGCGGTAACAATAATGAACTATGTGTGCAGTTAGGTTGAGATCAGTAATAGAATACTATCCAAATCAGGTGTGATCAAAAAGAGAAAAAGGAGAGGTGGTGGGATGACTGAGGAACAACGTCGCAATCAAAAAAATATATAATTTAAGCGGAAGGATGGGTCCAGACAAGTCCCACCTACAGCTCAGCTGAACTATAACTAGTAGTGAATGATATCACTGCCTGTTATTGTAACATCAATGCTGCAGAAATGAGACATAAATGTAGATAGATTGAAGAGCTGGAGGGGTTTACAGAGACAGAGAGGTTTGAAGCTATGTAACAAATCAATAGAAGCACTCAAATTTGGATTCAAAACTGTTCCAACACACTATGTCCAGCATGAGTGAGGTGCTGCTTTCTGGCCCCACTCATTATCTGTCGGATTATAGTCTGAGTACCTCTAGCAGTCGCATCTCTTCAAACCCCACCTTTGGAGGAGCCCCTCCACACGTACCCCCAAGATTTGTCCTTTTCCCCCTCCTCTCTCTTGTTTTCACACTCTGCAGAAAAGTCGTCAGCCAGCTTCCAGGTGAATGTCAACGACACCTAGCTCTCTCTCACTGGCACCTCTCCCTTGCCCTTCACAACCAATATCCATCCAGCTCAGGGACGATCATTCGAATGCATTTGGAGCAGGCTAAGGTGCAGGCAGCAACTTAGGATGGGTTCATATATCTGAACTAATATTCCAGAAAATACAAGTACAAATCCCATTCTGGCAGCCTGAAAATTTCAATTGAGTTCAAAAGCAAAGTCGCAAATAAAAAATCTACAGTCAGTAAGAGAGACCACAAAGCTATTGGGTGTAAAATCCTAGATGACTTGTTCATGTACAATCAGGAAGAATGCTTCCTGTGTCTACTTGTACGTTCAGCTCCAAGTGCAGAGAAAAATGATAAAAGTCCCTTCCATTTGCAAACTAATCTTCAGGACTCTGTTTCAATTCTGAAGGAGTCCTACCAGACTCAAAACATTAATTCTGGTTTCTCTGTCACCACAAATGCTACCAGACTTGCCGAGTTTCTTCAGCACTTTGTTTTTATTTTGACCTCCAGCATCCGCAGTTTCTGGATATTATTACCATTAAATCTCAGCTGCACTAACAGTGGCTTTGCAGGACATTCAGCTGCATCAAACTGGGGACTGAACCAGAACCAGGACCTGTCCCCTCTCATTTCAGAAGCAGTTTTCACTCAGACTTACACAATTTCAGATTGCAACAGTGGCTTTTATACATACTGTATGAGTTCCTTCTCCCTGATCTCCAGTTGCAACATGATTGCACTCAGTTCCATGTAGAGGTTGTTTGCTCGTTCCAGCTTCTTCTCGTAGTGTTCTCTGATGTCTAAGGCATGCCTGGAACAAAAGACACAGGTACTGGGACTGAATAGCTTCCTCCAAGAGGTCAAGAGCCACACTGGAGCCTTAACGATGAGTTTCTAACACTACTGCCAAATCTCTTTGAGAAATGAGGGTTAAAATTGTAACATTGGCAAACAAACAAACAAACATCTAGGTTTCCCATCACTTAGAATCTCCATTTCTACTCCTGCCCCTCACAACTTGGCTTTTGTGCTCAGGGTCAAAGTTTGTCTCAGGCACTGTGTGTGTGTGTGTGTGTGTGACAGAGAGAGAGAGAGAACATCCGTGTCAGTCTGTGTGAGAGAAAGTGTGTGTTTGTGTGTCTTGAGTGTGTGTATGTGTCTGTCTGTTTGAGTGAATGTTTGTGCGTGCGCATATGAGACAAGGGGGCAGCTTCCTTGAATGAAGTTTGCCAACTCAATTGGAGTTTCACCAACCATCACTACTACCTCAATCACCCCCCACTCTACCTTTTGCTTTCTAGTCATGCAACTGCCTTTTCCCACCCCAGAAATTTCAAACAATAATCCATTAATGAAACGTAAAAAATAAAGCACACCACTTTCTTTGTGTGTCTTCTGAGTTTTGTCTTAGGTTTTGCTCCTTGGAGGGTGCCATCATTCCTGTGGGCAGTTCTGAAGACCTGGTAACCCCTAGGTCTTGATGAGGTGAGAGGCTGTACCAGAAAACCAACCGCACTGGCTGGTTACGATAACTAGTGACAGAGCACTAGTTTTGTAAACCAGGGGTTGAGTGGTGTGGCACGATGGCACAGCGCTAGGGACCCGGGTTCGATTCCACCCTTGGGCAAATGTATGTGTGGAGTTTGCACATTCTCCCTGTGTCTGCGTTCTCCAGACTCCTCCCGCAGTCCAAGGATATGGTAGATTGGCCATGCTAAATTGCCCATAGTGTTCAGGGATGAGTAGATTAGGAGGGGTATAGCGGGATGGGTTCTGGGTGGGATGCTCTGAGGGTTGGTGTGGACTTGTCGGGCCAAACGGCCTGTTTCCACACTGTAGGGATTCTATGATCAAGTTTGCAAAGTTCAAAACTGGGTGAGTGGGTTATATGGTGACTGACTGGAAATAACACCAAATAGGAGGAAAGATGCTGGGCCTCCTAACACTGTCAAGCCAGTGATTTAAGTTACAGGGGAGGTACTATATTATATGAGTCTAGAATTCCTAGTGTGGAAGCAAACTATTTTGCCCATTGAGACCACACCAAACTCCTGAAGAGCACCCCACCCAGACCCTGCAACGCTGCATTTCCCATGGCTAATTCACCAAGCCTGCTCATCACCAGATGATGGGCAATTTAGCACAGCCAATCCACCTAACCAGCACATCTTTGGACTGTGGAAAGAAACATGACCACCCAGAGGAAACCCATGCAGACATGGAGAGAATGTGCAAAGACAAAAGTCACCCAAGGGTGGATTCAAACCTGGGTTCCTGGCACTGTGAGGCACCAGTATTAATCACTGAGCCATTGTACCATCTGAGGTTTTGATTATGTCTTACTGCAACGATGTTGTATATGCAGAATGCCCCAAAATGCTATTGAATCCAACAGGAAGATCACAAGCATGTCAGTCAAATCATTACAGTCAGGCAACGAACATACCTTAGCTCCTCTCTCCTCCGTCTGATTAATTCTTCATCTAACCGATGGATGCATGTCCCTTCACTCTTTATTTTTTCAAAGTGCTTCTTCACTTCTTCCCTCCATTCAGCCTGCAAATCAAATGTGCCCTTTATTTACAAGGGGGGCTCTCACGGTATGAAACCCAGGACTGCAGTTTAGTAACAAAAGACTCACACTGAAACAATATTCTTCTCCGATCTCTGCTACCCCACCCAAGATGGCCACTCTTCGCACGCGATTGGAGGTCTGGGATTGTTGGTGGGCTATTCAATTGGACAAACATCACGAATGAACAGAAATGAATCCTCAACTTCCATAGGGTGAGGGTCACAGGGAAGGCACCCAGATCAGGAACCCTGGCAAATATCCATTCCCACGCTATGGGACGACAAATACCGAGAGCAAGTGTCGTGGTTCTGCAATGAGGTGTGTTCACCATGCACAGACTGGGAATTGAATTCAAGCCATCTTGGATGGCTTCACCCTGTGTGATGTCTATAGCCAGACATGACTGCATCATTTGAGGGCAACAGCCATGTCTCAAGTTTAACCAGTATTCACCATACTCCAATTGCTCTGTCCTACTCAGCAGGTTGCGCCGTTCACTCACACTGCAACCAATTATACAGCCAAATACTAGTTAGCTTTCATCTTAAATAGCCCACCTCAATGCCCGGTATTGGCTCTTTGAATAGAGTTACTGTGATTACCAATGGAAGTAGCACCAGGGGCTTAAACTCTGATCAAAGGTGACTCATGTTTATCTTCAAATACCTTGCGCTTTCACCTTGACTCAATGACATTTTCTTCATGTCATCATTGCCTTTGACTCTGAAAGACAAAAAACCCCGTATCCCATGCAGCCTGGGGCTGCAAAAAATAGAAGTTTGATTTCCAAAATTTATAACAGTTGCCCTTTTCCCACTTCCCTTGTTGGTTTCCTTTTCTATGTGAGTTGTTCCCTCACTGCTAGGGGATGGCTCCAGGACAGCCTGATGGTACCGTATTCTAGTCACCAAGCTGGGAAGCTGGGAGCAGACTCTATGACAATGGAATGCCACGTGCTTACCTGAGATTTAAAATAGGTTTCTTGGGGGGTGCCCAGCACATCAGCAGATGCAATGTCCAGGTGGAGGAGAATCTGCCGGAATGATGGTCGGTTGCGAGGTTTACAGTGCCTGAAAGTAGAGTGCAGCTCCTTCATCAACTGTACAGCCTCACCCACCTCTGCCTGTAATCACTCACGTGTCTGCTGCCCTCCCTCTCTTTGTCTGTTGTACATGGACTGCGTTTCCCAAAGGTTCTGAATAACTCAAAACAACATTCGCCCTGCTGAAGTCATAACAAGCACAACCACACCACCTGCACCCCCCACCTCCTCCCCCTCCACCCACCCACCCAACCTCAGATACTGAGGAATAGAGAGACACAGACAATCAGTATGTACAGGGTGGGGGAAGAGAGAAGAGCCAGACAGACAGAAGGAAAGAGAAAAAGTGTACAGAGAGGGAGACAGAAAGAGGGTGAGACAGAGGCAGCGAGAGAGACAAAGGGAAAGAGAGTGTGTACAAGGAGGAAGAGACAGACACAGTGTTCAGGGAGGGAAAGACACAGTGAGACAGGGAGGGAGGGACACAGTGAGACGGACAGAGTGTATAAGGAAGGCATGACATGGATAGTGGGACAGAGATAGAAAGTGAGAAAGAGAGAAATAGTGTGATACAGGGAGGGAATGGCAGACTGAAATGGGACAGGAAAAAAAGAGTAAGTGGTACATAAAGGGAGAGAGATACAGAAGGGGTTAACGGCAGAGAGTGAGACAAATTTAGGAATGGGGAAAAGGAGAGAGAAATGATTCAGAGAGAGTGATCCTGAAAGACAGGACAAAGACAGAAAGAGAGAGATAATTTTGCCATTAATAGAAACAGAAAGTAACAAGTAAAATGTGTTGGTGACTTATTAGCTTTATCATCAGACAAATTCAAAATCAGTTGGTGAGAAAGGCAGAGACACAATACTTGCATTTAGAAAACATAGAGCAGCAAATCATTGCACGGCCCCTCCAAAGACCAGACATTAAGCCCTAAAACGCAAACCTAGGATAGGATATAAAAAACTTTACCAAAGGTGTACATTTTAACAAGGAAGGAATGAAGTGTGAGAAAGTTTCAAGAGGGAATTTCAGAGTTTCAGGCCTAGGAAGCAAAGTAAGTCAGAGAGGCAGTGTAGGCTAGATGGAGGCATGAGAGCTGTAGGAATGGAGGAGGTTACAGAGATTGGCAAGGGCAAAGTTGATTGAGGTATTGGAAATGAAAGAGGAGAATATTGAAGCCAGGCTCCAGAGCTAGCATAGGTCAGGAAGTAAGTCAGGGACTGATGAGGAAGACTGGATACAAGTTAGGATATAGGCAGGGTGGTTGATTGGAGACTGGTCTGGTGTGTTGCCTTGTCTCCTGGAACAAAGGTTTTCAGTGCAGGAGTTTTAGCAGCAAATGAACAAAGGCAGGCGAGATAACAGGAATGTTATACAAGCGCAATCTGAATTACGTTTCATGGGGACATGTCAATCCAGCTTGCAGATAATGACCATGGTGATGGATGGAGACAGTGCATGGGCATAGTGATTGCGGTACTGACTGTAGATAATTGCCTTGGCCATCTCAGTATTGTCTTGGAGAAAGTGCTTGCTCATTGAGATCTCACTTCATCCCAAACAAAGGGCTGTGGAGGGTTATGGGGTGCTGGTCTGGCAGAGCTAGGCATCCCTGGGTGATGACAACCATGGGCAGTGTATAGGTGAGAAACAGACAGGCACAAGGAAAGGGATTTGAAGATCATTTGATCCGGGGGTGGGGGTGGTACCAAAGGTAGGAGTGATGGCGCCAGACAAGAGGCCATCACAGGATGTTCTCTGTATCAGAACACAGCAGGTGAGAGATAGGGAGTGCCAATCATATCCAAGACAGAGATAGTACAACAGAAAGAAGAGAGAAGGGTGGGGGGGGGGACAGAGAGAGACAGGAGAGGGGGATAGAGATGGAAAGAGAGAGGAAGGAGAGAAGAATAGGGAGAGAGACAGAGTGAGAGATGGAGATAGAACGATAGAGACAAAGAAAAAGGGGGATACTAAGTGACACAAAAAGAATGGGGGACAGAAGGATAAAGGCAGAAAGAACTGAGAGGGAAGGGAAGGAAGAAGAGATGGAGAGAGTGTGGAATGGGATGGGGAGGAAAGAGAAGAACAGAAGGGAAAACATGAAACGTTTGAAACTACCTCCGACAGCATCAGGAAGTCTTGGAGTATAGAGAAGATACTGGCTGTTACACAGGGAAATATGACATCCAGTGTGCAAAGAGTAACTGGCAAGAATGGTGTTGCTCAAGGCACAAATACTGGTCAAATCAACAGAGAGAACTCACTGTGCCTCTTGGGAATAGTGCTCAGGGAACCTTACACGACGGCACAGGGACAGCTTCATTCAAATACAGCAAACTGACAAAGCACTGCACTGGAGCATCAGATTAGGAAGAAGAGAGAGATAGAAAGACAATGACACAGATTGTTTTGGCTTACGACTGTACTGTAGTGCCACATGTAGCCACTGTAGGGTAATGATATACAGCGACACAGCAGTGTGCCAGTCAGCTCCAAGTACCCCCTCCTTACAAGCTTGTTTCCAGTGAGAGTGCATTTGTCTCTGTTCAAACTGCAATAGCAGGCAGCAGTTAATCCTCAGGATAAGCTGGGACAGGTCCCACAATTAGATCTGTATCAATGTCCCCTAATCTTAGTTCACCCACACCCTGCATCGCACAGGAGTCCAATCCACTCTTTGTGGGAAGAAACTATCTCACACAATATTCTGTGCTCCCCCAGTGAAGTTCCTGAAGCTCTTGTATTCTCCCCACGTCACTCGGTTTCAGATGGGCAATTCTACCAGTCTCCCTTAACTCCAGCCTGTGCTGCACAATCTAGAGCCCCATCAAAACCCAGGAGCTGAGAAACACCTCTTACTCTCCTGTGGCGCTCTCTTTCTCTCCACCCACCCAGACTCTGTCCCCTTCTTACCCCAGCCCCAACCCATAGCTGTCTCTCTTTCTTTCTCCCCTGCTCCTTATTTCTCTCTGTCTCTCCCTCCATCTCAGACTCTCTCTCTTTCTCCTCAACCTGGTCAAGCTTGTTTTCTTTTTTTCTCTCGCATTCTCTGAATACCTCTTTCTTTCCCCCACCCCACCATGGCTCGTTCTCCTCCTGTAACTTTGTCTCTCTCTCTCACTCCTTCTGCACCCCATCCTGGCCCATCTCTGTCTCTCTCTCCTCCCACAAATCTGTCTCTCTCTCCTTCTGCACCCCAGTCTCTTTCCCATCCCTGGCAAGTTCATTCTCTCTCTCTTCCCCCTCCTCCAGGCTGGGTGCACTCTCTCTATCCTCACCCAACTCTTTCTTTCTTTCTTTCTCTCACTCTCTTTACCCCTCTTTCTCTCTCTCCCTCTCCTCCTTCACCCCTTTCCCTCAGTCTCCTCTCCTTTCTCTCTCTCCTTCCTGCCCAAACACTCTCACGAGGAATTGCACCAGAACAAGGTTGCTTTTCTATTGGCTGACCCCATGTATGTTAACTTTGACCCTCAGCCTCAAGGATAGGGTTGGGGTAGGAGAATAGGGGGAATCACTCACCAGGTTTGCTTCATGAGGATCTTGAAGCCATCGGGGCAGGTGGATGGGACAGGAAGGTGCAGGCTGTTACTGCCCACTCCCCAGATGATAGCAGAAGAATCGACATCCTTGTAGGGCACCTCTCCAGTCAGTAGCTCCCACAACACCACCCCAAACGACCTGCGCCAGACAGGGGAGACAAGCAGCAGAACACATGACTCTCTAATACTAGGATCTGAACAGGCTTCGAGGGGGAGACACTGACAGGACAGTCAGTCATCACCTGTGTGGGCCAATGTATCTGTCATTACATGACTATGGAACAATGACAGCCACAAACCTGGTCACTCAGGGGAGCTTGGAGCAAAAGGGACTTTGTGGATCAGTCAATCTGACACTGGCCTTTTTGAAGAGTGGGCCTTATCTTCCATTCTAACCTCAACTGAAACCAAAGCTTTCAAATAACAAGGGGTCAGAGTTCATCATTTGACATGCTCAACAGTTAACCCTTTCCCCGCACCTATGAGACAATGGAAACCCAACAATCCACCTTGGAGTTTTCCCATCCATCTGACCTCCTGGACCGGCTCAGGCAGAGGGTGTTGTGCCTCTGACAGCTGCTCAACAACGTAATCGCACCGGCCCTGCACTCAAGGCTAATACTGTAGGGACACGGTTTCAAATCCTAACAGGGCACCTACTTAAAAAATGTCTGAAGTTATGAGCCACTTTCAGTAATTGGGGTTTGATGTCAAAATCCATCCAGTTCACTAATGTCATCTAGGAGAGGACGTGTGACTCCAATGGGATTGACTTGATTTGACCCAGAGAGTCACAGAGATGTGGGCATCACTGGCTAAGCTAGTGTTGATTGCCCAGAGGGCAGTTAAGAGTCTACCATATTGCTGTGGGTCTGCAGTCATGTGTTGGCCAGACATTTAATTCCAAATTTTTTTTTATTAAATTCAGATTCCATAATGGGATTTGAACCTGGTCCTCAGAACATTCTGTGTTCCTGAATTAAAGCCCAGTGACTACCTCTCCACGTTTAAGGGACAATTAGGAATGGATAACAAATGCCTTACCAGCTACATCCATATTTGGGCAGCACGGTGGCTCAGTGGTTAGCATTGCTGCCTCACAGTGCTAGGGACTCGGGTTTGATTCCACCCTTGGGCGACTGTCTGTGCGGAGTTTGCACGTTCTCCCCGTGTCTGTGTGGGTTTCCTCCGGGTGGTCCGATTTCCTCCCACAGTCCAAAGACGTGCAGGGTAGATGAATTGGCCATGCTAAATTGCCCATAGTGTTCAGGGATGTGTAGGTTAGGTTGGTTATATGGGGATGGGTCTGGGTGGGATGCTCTGAGGGTCGGTGTGGACTTGTTGGGCCGAAGGGCCTGTTTCCACACTGTAGGGATTCTACGATCTATGATTTAAATTTAAAAATATGTATTGTCCCATAATAGGGAAAGAAATTGCTAATTTTCGTATTGTAGTTTGTTATTTAACTTGGTCACCAAATGGAAGCCCACTTTTACAACTTAACTCCCCCATTGGCCATATTAGGATATAGAATAGAATTGCAGAATCCCTACAGTATAGGTAGAGGCCACTCAGCCCATCAAGTCTACACTGACCCTCTAGAGAGTGTCTCAAGCAGACTCTGCCCTCCACCCTATCTCCATAACCCATATTTCTCATGGCTAATTCACCCAACCTGCTCATCTTTCAACTGTGGGAGGAAATTGGAGCAGCCAGCAGAAACCCATGCAGACACGGGAGAACATGCAAACTCCACACAATCATCCAAGGTTAGAATCGAACCCAGGTCCCTGGTACTGTGAGGCAGTCACGCTAACCACAGTGCAATCATGCTGACCTTGATTGCCAGACTGAATTCCTGCATTGTTCATCACTCACCAAATGTCCACTTTTTCAGACACAGGCTCATTGCGAATCACCTCGGGGGCCATCCAGGCCACGGTGCCAGCGAAGGACATCTTAGTGCTCTTGTCGCTTAGCTCCTTGGAGGTGCCGAAGTCAGAGATCTTCACAGTGTCATCGTGGGTAACTAGGACACTGAAACAGGAGAGAAAGGGGGCCAGAGGCCTTAAACTGACTGACCTGCTAAAACCTAGCTGTCAAGTCAGCCCCACCACCCTTCAATCCTGCCTCTACGCTACAGCATAAAAACAGACACTTCAATCCAACTTGTCCATATCGACCAAGATTCCTCAAATAATCTTGTCCCACTTGACTGCATTTGGCCCACATATCCCTCTAAACCTTTCCTATTCATGTACCTGTCCAAATGTCTTTTGAATGTTCTAACTGTACCTGCATCTACCGTTTTCTCTGGCAGTTGATTCCACATATGAACCATCCTGTATGTGAAAAAGTTGCCCCTTGGGTCCTTTTTAAATCTTTCTCCTCACCTTAAAAATATGCCCCCATTTTTAAACTCCCCTACCCTAGGGAAAAGACCTTAGCTATTCACCTTATCTATGCCCCCCATGATATTATAGACCTCTATAAGGTCACCCCTCAATCTACTACGCTCCAGTGGAAAATGTCCCAGCCCTATCCAGCTGGTTCTTATAACTCAAAGCCTCCAATCCCGGCAGCTGAGTAATGTCCCAAGCCCCCATGGCAACTGAATGGCTAGTCACTGGCACCCTGCTAATGCCCATCATAATGCAGCAGTTGGGACAATTTTTTAATGTGGGCATGGTTGGGGGTAGTGGATCAGTGAGGGTGAGAAATGAGCTGGCATCCACCAACATGTTGATTTCACTAGGGAAAGGGACAATGAAGTTAAAGGACAGAGAATATAGGAAATAAAAGGATGAGAAAGCCATTTAGTCCCGCCAGGCCATTCAACAAAATCATGGAATGATCTTCTACCTGAACATCATTTCCCCTCACCATCTATACTCCTAATATCTTTAGTCTCCAGAAAGTGATCATTCTCAGGCTTGAGTCTCACGGACTGAGTGTCCACAGCCTCTGAGGTGGAGAATTCCAAAGATTCACCACCCTTTGAATGAAGAAAATGCCCCCTCTCTCAGTCTTAAATGATTCATTTCTTATTCTGTTCCTCTGGTTCTTGACCCCATTCGCAGACATGAGAAACATCCTTCCTGCTTCTAGCCTATCCATCCTGTAAGAATTTTGCCATGTTTAATCGAATCCCTTCTCATTCTTCTAAACTGTAGGGAATACCCAGTCTCCTTCCTCTCTCCTCAGAGGTTAGTCCTGCCAACCCAGGAATCAGACTAGTGAAACTCTGCTGCACTCCCTCTGTGGCAAGTATATCCCTCTTTAGATAAGGAAGGCAGAAGTGCACATGGCTCTCCAACTGTGGTCTCACTAAAGCTTTGTGTAACTATAGCGCACTTAACACCTCCTCTTGCAATGCAACCAACATACCATTTGGATTCCTAATTACTTGTTCCATCTGCATGTCAATTTTCAGGACTTGTGAACAACGACACCCAGGTCCCTTTGGACATAAACCCTTCCCAACCTCTCACCGTTTAAGAATTTTTTTCCACCAAAGTGAATAACTTCACATTTTTCAACATTATATTCCATCACTCACATTCTTGCTCAGTTTCTTATCCTGTCTAAATCCCTGCAATTACATTGTAGCCTCTTATAAACCATATGAATATTTGATTCAATGCCAACTTGTGCATGTACATTTGCAGTGTGTGTACATACAGATTCCTGTATGCATATATGTGCATTTGTATGTATCTGCTTATGGACAGTTTTGTCTTTTCCACACATATCTGCATATTATGCTTGTATTTCACGTTTGCATGCCTCTTGGTGTTCATGTATTCATGTATTCCTCTGTGAAGTTGAAGATAAGGGATCTACTGGAAAAGACAAGGTGTGTTGAGGCTGTGAGGAATCCTGTACTCGTTAGAACATAGAAGAATGAGATGTGATCTTATTGAAACATACAGGATTCTTAGGGGATTTGACCTGGTAAATGTAGAAAGGTTGTTTCTTCTTGTGAGAGAGTCTCAGACTAGAGGGCAATTATCTGCGTAAGGGTTGCCCATTGAAGACAGAGATGAGGAGGATTTTGTTTTCTCAGAGAGTAGTGAATCTGTGGAATTTTTTTTTAAACTACAGAGGGCTGCTGAGGCTGGGTCATTAAGTATATTCAAGGCTAAGACAGACAGATTTTTCATCAGTAAGGGAATCAAGGGTTATGGGGAAAAGGCAAGAAAGTGGAGTCGAAGATTATCGAATCAGCCATGATCTCATTGGATGAGGAGTAGATGTGATGGGCCGATTGGTGTACTTCTGCTTCTAGGTCTTATGGAAAGCACACATAGACGAGGTGTCATGGCTATTAATGAAATTAAGGCTGCGACTTAACGGGCATGAAGATCATCTTGGCATTCGCATTCATAGGGTTTTCAGAGAGGAAAGAGTGAGTGGATTGCAATATTGGATTTTAAAAAACCATTTCAGCAAGGAGGAGGAATGATATGTCAGATAGATCATTAAGTCTGGCTATGTGGATTGAAGTGAAGTGAAGAGCAGAAACACGGCTGTCATGCTGTTGTGTGTGTACAACATTAGACCCAAAAGCAAACAAACAGGAGAGATAGGCAAGGTCAGAACTCAGTCAAATTTAGAGTCCTTATGAAAAAGGACAAAAATCAATAAAGAATTCAAGTTTGACAACTGGGGAAAGGCTAACTTTACCAAACTGAGGTGTCACTGGCCAAAGCGACTGGAATCAGCTCATTGAAGTGTCAGGACAGTCAGTGGAAGGCATCGATGAGGAGATACTGAAAGCTCGAAGCAAATATGTCCCAACCAAGAAAAACAGGGGGCTCTTAAAGCAAGAGGTCAAGTAGCAAACAGAGCAGAATAAGGTTAAAGCTAAGCTATTGTCAGACACTGAGAGGTTAATACTGTGCGTAACCCAGGGGAGTATGTAAAGTGCAAGGGTGAGGAAATTAGGAAAGCAAAAAGAGAACATGAAAATACATTGATAACTTAAAATCGAGGGAAACCTAAAGGAGACTCTAAATAGTAGAAGGCTCTGACCATCATTGTCCAGTACACTGTGTCTAGAGACCTGTTTCTGATAGACCAAAGAGAGGAAGGGATGGGCCGAGTAATTAAAGGCCAGTCAGTCTAATCTTGATGATGGACAAATTATTAGGAAACGTTCTGAGTGACCATCATTTAAAGAGTCAGGAATAAACAAAGGACTGTGCAGCATGAATTAAGGGATAATCTTGTCTGACTAATGCATTGGAATTTTTTTTGAGGAGACAACAAGAAGGGTTGATGCAGGCAAGACATTTGATGCAAGGCTTTTGAGCAGGTCCCACTTGACAAATGAATGAGAAAAATAAAAGTCCTTAGAATCCGAGAGGAATGGCAAATTGTTTCCAGAACTGTCTCAGTGGCAGAAATTGACAGCAACGAAAGCAGGTTGCATTGACATAGTGCCCACATTATAATGAAATGTCCCAAGGAGCTTCACAGGAGGCGGCACATAAGGAGGCACTATGGGAAATAGCCAAATGTGCAGTTGAAAAGGTTGAGTTTTCAAGGGAGAAGTGTTCTTAATAAACCAAAAATACCAGTATTCCTTCAGGGTACACTATGTGATGAGCTTCTTCCGCATTGTTCACCTGTTCCCTGGGGTGAATTATTTTTATTTCCATGCTGATCATCCTTACTTCGGTCCAGCGACGGCGTTGTTTAATTTCTTTACTTTTTTTTTTAAAATCGAAGTGCATCTGAGACCAAGATTCCATTGTTTTCCCCTCGAATCAATGGATTGATCCAGTGGATCTCAAAGCTATTTTTATCCTCATTACCAGTTTTTTTTTCGTGTTACTTTTCCAAGATGGACCAAGAGGCCAAGTGTTAAACAACGGCAGAAGCTTTATGAAGAAGGTGTTCAGTCTACAGGCTGAGGTTAGACTAAGCTGTTTGACTGCTCAAAGCAGTCAGTGACATCATTGCCATGTCACATGATCTGACTCTTAAGTGGCAGCCCACCATACTTACACAAGGGGAATGAGATTAGAGAATCAGAAAGGTTTAGTGAGGTCATTCAAGAGCTTCAGTCCTCAATGAACAGAGGTCAATTGTGGAATAATCTGAAGTGGAGATGATCTGGAAACCAGAATTAGATGAACGCAGCTATCTCAGGAGGGGGATGTAGCATGAGGGCTGGCGAAGATTACAGAGAGAGTGAGGAATATAAGACCATGAAGAGATCAGAACACAAGGACTCAATCAAGACCTGCTTATCTGGGAGTCAGTATAGGTCAGGGAGCTCAGCAGCGATGGGTGAAGATGAGGCAAGTTAGGACGAGGGCTGCAGAAGTTGCGAGTTTTGAGTGAGAAGAATGTGAGAGGTCAGCTAAGAGAGCAGTCAAATCCCTCAAGTAACAATTTCCTCAGTGAGGGTATTCAACAACAAATGACCTGAGGAGTGAATGGTGCCAGGGGAGCCACAGGTGGTGGAAACAGGCAGTGTTAAAGAGAGCACAGATATGCGTCAGAGTCTCCTAGCGTCAGAAATGACAGCAAGGTTTCAAAGACTCAGGTTCAACCTCAGACATATGCTGGGGGAGGGATCGAGATGGTAGCTAAGGAACAGAGTAGTTGGCTTTGGTTTCCCTGGTATTTAAAACAGAGGAAATTTCTGCTTTTTCAGTGCTGGATGTTGAAAAAGCAATCTGATAATTTAGCGACAGGATCACCAGATTAATTCCAGAAATGAAAGGCACGTTTTATGAGGAGAAATTGAGCAGTTTTGGCCAGTACTAGAGTTTAGAAGGATGAGAGGAGACCCAATGGGAGCTGTATAAGATGCTAAAGGGGATCGGCAAAGTAGACAGAAGGAGGTCCTCATGTGGACCATCTAGAATGAGAGGTCAGAGTTTTAGGATAAGGTGCAGTAGATTTAAAACAGCTGAGGATAAATTACTTCTCTTAAAAAGGTCATGAAACTGTGGAATTCATTACCGCAGAATGTGGTGGATGCTGAGACATTGAGTAATTTTAAGGAGGATATAGACAGATTCTAAATAAATAATGGGTTAAATGATTATTAAGATCAGGCAGGAAATTAGAGTTGAGGCCGCGATGCAAGTACCCATTATCATATCAAATGGCAGAGGAGGCCTGAGGGGCTGAATTGCCTACTCCTGCTCCTAGTTCTTCTATTCTTATGACAGTGGAAGTGTCAAGAGAGGCAGTGGTGAGATAGAGCTGGCTATTGACTGTATTCATGTAAAAAAAGCTAATATTGTGCTTTCCGTTAATGTTGCTGAGGGAACAGCATGCATCTGAGAAATGGCAGTGGGAGAAGGGGGCAAGAATGGAACCCAGGGGTTGGGAGTGAAGTTAACGATGAAGATTTGTGACCAGAGGGCTATTTGAAATGGAGTTCTGCAGAGAACCAAGTTTTTTTTTGTGCTACCTCCATGGTTTAGAATTAAGTGTAGGTGCCACAAACTGGCTAGGGAAGAGTATAGCGTTGAAGGAAACTGCAGAAAAGATATTCTATAGATTATTCAACTGGGCAGAAAAATGGCAAATGGAATTCTGTTCAGAGGAGAGTAAGATCGTGCACTCAGCGAGGACGAACAAGGCAGAACATTGAATCGTCAGATACAGAGAACTGCAGAGGCCCCACAATTCCTGAAGGTCACAGGAGAGGTAAATAAGGTAGTGAAGAGGGCATATGGATTACAGTCCATTATTATTGAGGCCTAGAATACAAGAGAGATTATGCTGAAAGTGTGTTACGCATTGATTCGGACACAGCTAGCTTTCTGGTAACGCGCCCTGCATTTCAAGCTGGGGTCAGACCCCCCAAGGGATGGGGTGAAGAAGATATCCCTGCTTAGCCAGTTCTGCCTGAGCCATTTCAAGGCCTTTGAGCTTGCCCTTGCTGTGTAATACTGTACTGGCCCTCTTCACAGGGTTGACGGGATCACACCCGAGCATTTAAAGGAGGAGATTTCCAAGAAATTTGTGAGGAATGAGGAAGGTTAGACCCAGTTAGAAGGTTGAGTAGGCTTGGGATTGTTCTTTGAAACAGAGGAAGCTGAGAGGAAATTCAATGGAGTCAGGTGTGGAAAACTATGAGGGGCCCAGACAGAGTGGGCAGAATGAACTAATTTGTCTTCATGGTCCAGGAGTGTAGATTTTAAAGAAATTGACAAAAGGATTCGAGGGGGAGTTGAGGAAAAGGTTTCCATGCAGAGGGTGATGGGGATCAGAAACGCATTGCCTGAGAGGCGGGAGAATGCAGAAAGCCTCAGTACCTTTAAAAACCACATGGCTATGCAGTTGAAGTGTTGTAAGCAAGTGCTAGTAAATAGGTTTCTTTTTTGTTTAGTATTTTGGTCACACAAAATGGGCTGAATGTGTGTGCCTGGCCTGGGGTTCAGAAGGACCGTGACAGCACCTGTTCGATTCCCGGTCCTCGTTCAGTTCTCCTCAGACAGCCCGAGAGTGAAAGGCCATAGTAAACCAGCACTGACAGAAACAGCCATGAAAACAGCTCAGGATGAAGCACCAGCAAAACAACGAGCCAATGACTGGTGTTGGAGCAGAAGCCAAATAGAATAAATGTTGATGCTAATCTGTGTGTATTAGGTTAGCCAGTCATTCCAGTGAGGGGTCAGGTTAGATCAGTTGGCTAGATGGCTGGTTTGTGATGCAGAGTGACAACAACAACATGGGTTCAATTCCGACACGAGCTGAGGTTACCATGAAGGATTCTCCTCAACTTCTCCCCTTGCTTGAGTAGTGACCCTCAGGTTAAACCAACACCAAGTCATCTCTCTGTAATGAGGGAGTGGGTCCGTGGGCTGGTAAGACTATGGCGACTTTACCTTAATCATTCCAGTGCCTAGATTCATTTTTATGTAGCCAGGTATTTTTCTGCATTCACTGTGGGCATAGATGTACATGCTCTTATCTTTTGTGTGTACATGCAGATGTACATACACGTGTACAGAGTAAACACCTTTTACTCACTTGGGTGATTTGAGGTCTCGGTGAATGATCTTGTGCAGATGTAAGTAGTTCATTCCACTGGCTATTCCTGAGGACCAGTCTACCAACAGTCGTGGTGTGATCTTACGGCCTGCTCGTAGAACCTCATACAACTGGCCATGAGCACAATACTCCATAATAATACAGTAACATGGTGCCTGGGTACACACACCCCTGTTGAAAAAGGAAAATTCAACACTTTAGCACTCAGGGCACTAGATGTTTTGGGTTAGTTTCCTGACAATGACCAGCTCAAATTGGTGTGATTGAGGATCTCAGGTGGGCGGTAAGCTCTGGTAACAATCCACAATGCCCAAATCCCTCTTATTCACCCACACTACCCACCCTGTATACCACTCATGATTCAGCAAGGTTAGATACAAAGTAAAGCTCCCTTGACACTGTCCCCATCAAACACTCCCAGGACAGGTACAGCACAGGGTTACATACAGTATAAAGCCCCCTCTACTGTTTTAAAACAAACGTAAATTGAAAGTAAAGACCCCTTGATACTGTTTTCATCAAATAATTCCAGGACAGGGACAGCATTGGTTTAGATACTGAATAAAGCTTCCTCGTCACTGTCCTCATTAAACACTCCCAGGACAAGGGACAGCCCAGGGTTAGGTAATGAATAAAAAACTCTCTCTACATGATCCTTATCAAATATTTCCAGGACAGATAAAGCACAGGGTTAGATACAGAATAAACTCTCTAAAGACTGTCACATTGACAAGTGGTCTTGTGTTCAGTCCTAAACAGTAACACATCACCCTTCACTCAAATAGCCAGTTTGCTATAAATGTCTTTGTCAGTTGTCCCAATTTGGTGTACTTTCTTCCGCTGGTCCCATACTAAGTAGGAACTGGAATGAGAGCATGCGATTGCACTTGACAACATATTCTCTGTCCAACAGTCCCAGCAGAGTCTCATCCCATCAGTGTGGGTTAGAATCCAAACCAAAGGTCAGAGGTTAAAGGTCATTTTCTGGCCATCACCAATTCCACTACCCTCAGAATGTTTATTTGTAAAGCAGAACAAAAGCTCAGTTAGGAATGTGCATGTCTTTCCTCCCCACCACACCATCCCAACACAGTGAATGTAAGCCATACTTGAATGCAATGATATTGGGATGTCTCAATTTCCTCAGGTGCTTGATGTCTGTTTCCTTCTGTTCCCGCACTTTCTTAATGGCCACATCTTCACCTCGGAATTTGCCCAAAAACACGGCCCCCTGGGCTCCGCTCCCCAGCCACTGCAACTCCGAGATCTCCTCAAAAGGCACCTCCCAAGAATCTGCAAAGTGATCAAACACACCAGAATGAATCTGCCTGATCCCAGTCCGTGCAGCTGTGAACTTGAGCAGGCTACCAACCTCACAGCTTCACCACCATCCACCCTGAGCTCACCACCACCACAGTAGCACAGAGGACATTGTCATAATTCACGCCAATGCCCTTGAAAAATCGAGAGATGAGGCATTAACTAGAGACCCCTATCTCGCTCATGATGTGGCACAGAAACAGAAAATAAGAGCAGGAGTAGCCCATTCAGCCCTTCAAGCATTTATTACATCATGTAACCCAGCAGCTGGATTTCAAAATAGAAACAAAGAGTTGGAGAAACTCAGCAGGTCTGGCAGCATCTGTAGGGAGAGAACAGAGTTAATGTTTTGAGTCCATTAACCCTTCTTCAGGCTTCGAAGATGGGAATGCCAAGCAATGCTCACTATCTGAATGCAATCAACATCCAAAGAATAGAAATCAAATACACAACATTAACTGCTACATAATAAAAAGTGGTAAATGATATAATCTGATGTACATTGGTATACTAATACTAGGTAAACTAGAGACTAAGGAATGACTAGTTCCCTGGACTTGATGGTCTACATCCAAAGACCATTGGTTATAATCTTCCAAAGTCTCTGTGATTCTGAAAAAAGTCCCAGTAGATTAGAAAGGGCAAGTGTAATACCTCTATTCAAGTAAGAAAGGTGACAGAAAGCAGCAAAACTATAGACTAGTCAGCCTAACATCTATCACAGCAAAAATGCTGGAATTTATCATTAAGGAGATTATAGTGGGATATTGAGAAAAGTAAACAGGCAGAGTCAATATAGTTTTGTGAAAAGGAAATTACGTTTGGAAAATTTATTAGGGTTCTTTCAAGATGTAAAAAGCAGGGTGGATGAAACTGGCCCTGTAGACGTAGTGTATTTAGATTTTCAAAAGCTATTTGATAGGGTACCACACAAAAGGTTAGTACACAACACAAGAGTTTATGGTGTTGAGGCTAATGTAACACCCCTGTTTAAGGAGGGAGGAAGGCAGAAGGTGGGAAGTTATAGGCTGGTTAGCCTGACCTTGGTGATTGCTAAGATGTTAGAGTCAATTATTAAGGATGAGATTGTGGAGTATTTGAAAGTGCATGGTAAAATAGTGCTGAGTCAGTATGGCTTTGACAAGGGGAGATCATGCCAGACAAATCTGTTAGAATTCTTTGAGGCAGTAACAAACGAGTTAGACAAAGGAGAGCCAGCGGTTATGAGTCATTTGGATTTCCAGAAGGCCTTTGACAGGGTGCCGCACAAGAGACTGCTAAATAAGTGAAGAGCTCCTGGTGTTAAGGGCAAGGTGCTGACATGGAGAGAGGATTGGCTGACTGACACAAGACAGAGTGTGGGGATAAAGGGGTCTTTTTCAGGTTGGCACCGGTGCAGTTCCAGGAGTCAATGTTGGGGCCACAACTATTGTGACAGGTTAGTTTATTCTTTAACAAGTTAGTTTATTCTTATTTTTTAAAAGAGAGGTACCAAGCTGGCTACCAGACCACTTGTATAAACAGCTTGAGAGGCCTTGGGTTTTTTTTAAAACACAACCTAAATGGGTGTGGCCAGCTGTAACAGATCAGGATTTCTGAGTAACATCAGAAGCCTCTGGGATCTCAAACAAGTGGGAGCTTCAGTGAATGTCTACCAACTCTTACTTTCTTTGAATTTTCTCTTGATGCTTTTTCCTCTTGGATTGGAGAACTGCATGCTAGAATCTGTGTCTAAATTTGACTTTTGCCAAGGGATGTGTTTTTCGGATGTTACTATATTGAAACAGTTAATTAGTAATAGTTACCATATCTATTATTCAGTTAAGTTTTCCATTAGTTATTCTAAATTCCTCTTTCTTGTGTTTGTATTTTAACTACAGTGTTTAAATAAACTGTTTTGCTTAACGTCGGGTAGTTTGACCAGTTGCATTGCATCTGGAACACGGCACTTCACATCTACTATTGAAATAAAAAAAGGTAGGGTCTAGGCTAATTTCTTAAAATATTTTGAGAGGGTCTGATCTGGTCCATTATACTATTCACATTATACGTCAATAATCTGGACAAAGGAACTAAGGGCTTGGCTGCTAAGTTTGCAGATCACACAAAGATACGTAGTGTTGAGGAAATAGGGAGGCCTGCAGGAGGACTTGGACAGGATAGGAGAGTGGACAGGGAAGTGGCAGATGGAATACAATGTGGGGAAGTGTGAGGTTATGCATTTTGATAGGAAGAATAAAAGTGTAGACTATTTTCTGAATAGGGAAAGACTAGAAATCTTAAGCATAAAGGAACTTAGGAGTCCTAATTCAGGATTCCCTTAAGGTTAACACGCACTTTCCACCCCACCAGCCAGAGTATTCAATGGTTCCTTTTCCACCATTTCCACCACCTCAAGCGTAATGCCAATATTAAACACATCTTCCCCACCGCCCCCATGTCGACATTTTGAAGGAACTATTCCCTCCCCGATACCCTGATCCAATCTGCAGTCACCCTAAGCACCCTGTTCCCTTCCTATACAATTACAGGAGGTGTAAGACTGGCCTTTGCATCTCATCACTCTCCGAGGCCCCAAATACTCCACTCAGATAAAAGAGCAATTTCTTTATAATTCCTTCAATCCAGACTGCTGTAGTCGTTATTCACAATGTGGTCTCCTCTACACTGGAGAGACTAAACACAGACTGGGTGACCATTTTGGAAAATACCTCCATTTAGTCCGCAAGCATGATGCCAAGATTCTGGTGGCCTGTCATTGAATTCTCCACCTTGCAGTGACGCTGACTTTTCTCGGTTGACTGCACTGCTCCAGACAGTTTCAATGTTAGTTTTAGGAACAATACATCTTTTGATTAGGAACAGTGCAGCCTTCAAGATTAAACACCGAGTTCAACAATTTTATACCATAATCTGCTTGCCAATTGTGTTTTCTTTACTGTTTTAGTTTTCACTTTTTTTTGCTTGGAGTCAGCAGCAGACCTGCTCTACGCACTTCTTCTGTTTCTTCCTCCATCACCATTTTCTTTGACTCTGGGACACTAGCTCTCCTGTCTTTCACACTATTAGAGACCTTTCTCTTCACTTGTCTCATCCACCCACCCATACCTTTCTAAATTTCCTATTTTATCTCACTTTCTCTCTCCACCTGTCAGACCTGCTGGACTCTTCCAGCATTTTCTGTTACATAACACAACCTGGCACACAGTACAGTCACCTGAGCAAGGAACAAGAGTAGGCCACTCAGCCCTTTGAACCCATTCCATCATTCAAATAAGGTTGTGGCCGATCTGATTTTAACCTCAACTTTTTATTCCTGCATATCCCCGTTAATCCTTCATCCTATTGGTAATTAAGAATCTGCCTTCAAAATATTTAAAGATACTGCATCCACTGCCTTTTGAGGAAGGGAATTCCAAAGACTACAACCCTCTGAGAGAAATAAATGTTTCCGAATCTCTGTCTTTAAAGAGGGAGCCCCCTTATTCTTAAATGATGACCGCTAGTTCTGGATTCTCCCACAAGAGGAAACATCCTTTGCACATCCACCTGGTCAAATCCCCTCAGGGTCTTGTAGTTTCAATTAAGTCACCTTTGACTCTTCTAAACTCCAGAGAATGCAGACCTAGTCTTTCTGGCCTTTCCTCATTAGGCAATCCACCCATTCCAGTATTAGTCTAGTAAACTTTCTCTGAACTGTTTCCAATGCATTAACATCCGTCAGAAAGTACAGATGCCAAATGTCCCGTGTATCTCCTACTCTTGCATTCAGTTCCCCTTGCAATAAACCGTAATATTCTATTAGCTTTCCTGATTATTTGCTGTACCTGTAATTAATAGACAAGGACGCCCAGATCTCTCAGCATTTCAGAGCTCTGCAACCTCTCACCATTTAGATAATATGCTTCTTTTTCATACTTTCTGCCAAAATGGACAACTTCCCACCTTCCCATATTATAGTCCATTTGCCAGATCTTTGCCCACACACTTAATCAATCCTTTTGCAAGCTCTTTATGTCCTCTTCACAACTCACTTTCCTACCCATCTTTGTGATTTCAACAAATTCAGCTACCATATCTTCGAATCCTTCGTCTGACTATTTATATAAATTGTAAAGAGTTGAGGCCCCAACCACCGGCCCCTGTAGCACATTACATCCCGCCAGCCTGAAAACGACCCATTTATTCCTACTTTCTGCTTCTTGTAAGCCAGCCAATCTTCTATCCATGCCAATATGTTACCTCCATACCATGAGCATTTATTTTCCACAATAATGTTTGATATGGCACTGATCAAATACCAAACTTAAGGACAATATATCCACTGGTTACCCTTTAATCGACAGCTCATGTTACTTCTTCAAAGGATGCCAATAAATGAGTTAAATGCAATTTCCATTTAATAAAAGCATGTTGGCTGTGTCTGAGTACCTTGTATTTGCCCAAGTGCCCTGTTATAACAACTTTCAATAATAGCTTTGAACATTTTCCCTATGACATGTTAAGCTAACTGGCCTTTTGTTTCCTGCTTTCTGTCACCCTCTCTTTTTAAATAAAGGAGCTATGTTAGCTAGTTTTCAATCAAATGAACATTGCCCATATCTCATAAGTTTTGGAAAATTAAAACCAATGCATCAGCTGTCTCACTGGTTGCTTCTTTTAAGACTCTAGGATGAAATCCATCACAACCTGGGGACTTGTCAACTTGTAGTTCTAATAATTTACTCAGTAATACTTCCCTGGTAGTTATAATTTTCTTGAATTCTTCCATCCCTTTCAATTCCTGTATTACAGCTATGTAAACAATGCGACACACAGTACATCCTGGTCCATGATACAACCTGGCAGACAGAAAACAAAAGAACTACGGATGCAGTAAAGCAGGAACAAAAACAGAAGTTGCTGGAAAAGCTCAGCAGGTCTGGCAGCATCTGTGAAGAAAAAATCAGAGTTAAAGTTTCGGGTCCAGTGAC